CTGAAGCCTCTGTTAGGGCACTTCCTGTGTGTCCCTGGCCCTGGGGATCCCCACCCCCACATGGCACTGCCTGCTGTCATTTGTCTCCGGTGTCCATGCTCCCGAGCAGGGTTGCCGGCTTCCCTCCTTCCTGTCTAATTTGGTCTTGTCCCTCCCCCCACTCCTTCCCCACAGCACTGCAGGCAAACCATGGAGTCCTAAGGACAGTGGGGTGGGTAGGAGGGGCTCTCTGCTCTGTGGAGCACTGAGCACAGACAGACCACAGACGGCGAGCGCAGAAAGCCGTGTGTGCAATGTGTTCCGGAAGAGAGGCGGGAACCCCAGCTCTGCCTGGAGAGAGGGAGGAGACGGCTACTTCCCGGAGGCATGGCCCCAAAGCGGGGCTGGAGGAAGCCTGCAGGTCCTCCCAGGACCGGGAGCAAGAGCAGGGACTCTAGACGACATAGCCGGTGTCTGTTCCAGGGGAGAGTGGCCTGGGAGGCCTGGAAACACAGGCAGCCGCTGATGTCATTGTCCCAGGGCAAGAGGGCAGCCTTCGCCAGAAAGTGGGGGCCCATCCTTGAGTAGCATATGTCTTGAAGGCCAGGATGTGGGCTCCTTTTTCTAGCCCTGTAGTACCCGGGACCCCGAGAACACAGAGATGGGCTTGGAGATCTCAGTGGGGACAACTGGCACAGCAGTTATGTACCATGGCACCCCACACACGGTCTCTCACCCCTCTCTGAAGCAGCTCTGGCCACTGGCACTCTGCCATCCCTGCATGTGGACTGTGGCAGGGAGCACCCATTCCCCTGGGGATCCTTCCTCCTATCTGGCCCAGGGACCCAGGTAGAGATGACATCATCACCTGGCTTTGGGGACCTCAGGCCGCTGGCCACTGCATCTGGTCTGCAGATGGGCATATCACTAAAGGCCGGCTCTTGGGACTGAGTGGGTTTCCTCTGCAGACATCACTGAAGGGAAGCTGCCTTCTTACTGCTGCAGCAGGGCCACTGTAACAAGGAGCCTCCCCAAGATAGGAGCAAACTGACAGGACAGTGGAGCCAAGACGGGCCATCAAACCAGCCTGTTAGGGTGCTGGATCCAGCCATGCCCGAAGCCGGACCTTCAGCTTTTCTGTTACATGGGTTAATATATGATTCTTTCAGCCTAAGCCTGTTTGGGCTGGGCTTTTATTTCTGGCAAACTGGAGTCTCTACTGATGTATTATTTTTACCCATTTGCGATGCCTGGACTCAGAAATCAATCTCCATGAGAAATTTCCTAAAAATTACCTTGTCTCCATGAGGTGAAACAGACTACAATCCTGTATGTTTGGGCTAGACCCAGAGACCCCCTACTCTAAACACCTTGCTCGGCAGATGAGGCCAAGAGAGTTAAGTAATTCACCCAGACTCTCAACCATTCATTCACAAATACTGACCCACCCCGTGTGGTCATGTTCTCCACATTCATCCTGTAGGAAGGACAGACGAGTTAGGGACAGAGTCGGCATGAGGCTCCGAGTGTTCTTAGTCCTAGCTCACAGTGCTCCTCTCTACACCGTGATTCCTCAAGTCTGGGGCCCAGAGGGTTCAAGTGACTTGCCCGTGGTCACACAGCCAGTAATTGGCAGAGCTGCCTACAAAGGGTGGACTTTATTCCAGAGCAGCCAATGCACACTGAGAAGCCTGCTTCCCTGTTTTTTCTATCCAAACACCAAAGACTCCCTGATTTCATCTGCCAGGGCCGTGGCCCTGGTCCTCCCTCACTCTTGCATCTCAAGGCCTAGAGTCCTGGTCAGTTCCTATTTGCATCTGACATGGGCAGGCAGGTCTTGCCCTTCCTCCCCTGGGGTGCACAGCACACCCTCTCCTGGTGTCCGCCAGGCCACTCTGCCTCTGTGCTCCGTGTCCTCAGCTGGTCTCTCTGGAAGGCTGTCACCCACATTACGGTGGAAGGAGTGAGCATACAATTTCCTTCCGTATCCTGCACCTCCCTCCCTGCCCCATCCAAGTTTGTGCGGGGAGGGAGTAGAACTGCAGGGACATGTGCATGCGTTCTTCCTGTGTGGTGCTTACAAGAACCCCCTTGCACAAAGCCTAGCCCATAGCACTCAGCAGCCTCTCTGGTCCCTGCCCCCGCCGCCTGCCTGCCTCCCTCCCCAGAGTGTGCTCCTGCACCCTGGCCAGCTGACCCCTTTCCCTGCCCAGGTGCTGTAGGAGGCATCAATGGTACATGTGTGTACCTGTGTGAGCAAGGGTACTGGGGTCACAGCAGTCACAGGGCAGATACCACTGTCACGTGTCTCCTTGCTTCAGGAGGAGGCATCTCCGATTAGCTCCATCCCCCTACTTACTGCCACCTGCTGAGACATGAAGCCCACCCACTTTATCTCAGCCCATCTGGGTGCTTCCCAGTGCCCAGGATTCCTATAGCTGCTCTCCTGCCTCGTCCTCATGGGAGTCTGGGGACCTCTATTTGCAAGGCAGCAAAGGCATTCAGGTCCCCTTTGGTCCTAAGCTCAGGATGGGGAGCACTGTGAGAGGAGTGGTCCTGGTCCCATGGGGAAGGAAGACAGGATCGTCCCATCTGATAATGAAGGCAGAGGTGTTCACACTGCAACTGAGACTCAGGGCACAAAAGGGGAATGCTGGACCTGTGCCGGGGGTAGGTGGGTCAGAGAGAGCTTTCTGGAGAAGCAGCCCCTGGAGTCAGGTCCTGGGTGGGGGTTGGGGGAAGAGGGAGGGTGAGGAGGCTGAGCGGTGCTTCGCGCACAGAGCCCTGAAGAGCACTTCTCAGCACCTCCGGTGAGTGCCTTCAGCAGCACAGCTGGCTCATCAGAGCGTGCGTGTGGGGTCAGATGGCCCTGGAACCCGGGCTCACCAGGTAGGGCCCCCCGTTTTCCATCTGGGGGCAATGGGGTCCAGGAGGCTGACACCAAGATGTGGGGAGACAGCACGGGGAGCAGGTGGGTGCTGGGAGGACGGGTACCGGGAGGACAGGTGCCCTAGGGAAGGGCTGGAGTGGGGGCCCCTCCAGGAGAGTGGAGGAAGGTGAGAGGCCCCGGGGAGCAGGAGGAGCCCCCACCCCGCCACCTCCGTGGCTCCCCCTGCCTGCCTGCCATGGCGTTAGCTCAGCGCTGCTGGATAATACTGTAGAGGCTGTCCTGACAGCACCTGGATGGTGGGGACCAGCCAGGTGTCCCCCTGCAGAGGGGAAGAGACGAAATCTGAGTGTGCACATGGCGAAACGTTCCCCAGGCATGAGACTAGGTGCTGCCACATTGGGTGAAAGCAGCCCGCTCGTGGGCACAGATGCTATGAGACATTCCGCACAGATTCCTAGACAGGAACCTCCAGGCCACTGACTGGACAGGGGAGGAGGGACAGCTGGATGGCAGGGGCTTCTCTCCGGGAAGTGGGGCTCTGTCTCCGGAGGGGTGACGGCTGCGCCACAACCGTGCACAGGGTGTGCACTCCAGGCTGCACCCTCCGCTTCAGGGTTGGGGGGACGGCTGACTTCATGCTGCTCGCGGTTTGCCCTGATGCTTGCTAACCCGCCAGCGTGGAGCTGAGCCCGGAGGAGATCACAGAGCAGAGCACGGAGCAGAGCATAGAGGAGAGCGTGGAGCACGGCATGGAGCATGGCATGGAGCATGGCTCAGAGCACAGAGGAGAGCACAGAGTGGAGGATGGCATGGAGCACGGAGGAGAGCAGAAGATGGAGTGGAGCATGGCATGGGGCACGGAGCAGGACTTCAGGCCCATGGCGACCTGGCCGGTGCACACGGCCCCCCCATGCCTGTCTCCCTCCCTGGCTCTAGTCTTCTCCTCCGAGTGTCCATCTGGGCGCCTGTGACTCAGGCTCTGCCTCCAGTGCCCCAGGCCCCCGATGCAGGCCGCCAACGGGCTGCTGGGCGCTGCGGTTCCAGCTGGCCAGCAGACCCCTGTGCTGACCAGCATGGGCCCAGGTGCCAGAGAGGGCTGGAGTGCCCGCCTTCTAGATGGCACTGGCCACGTCCTGTCCCCTCCCTGCCTGTGCTCCTCCCTGGCCTCAGCCGGGGGAGGGAGGCTCCTCTGAGGGGAGGCACATCTGCCCAGAACACTGGCTGCCCAGCCCCCACCTCGCCACCCCATTTAACCCCTGGGGGCAGACGTACAGAGCCACCAGCACAGCCCACGCTCCGGCATCACTTGGTGCAAATGTTGCTTGACCGTTCCAGAAAAGTCCTGCTCAGTTAGTCCCCCAGTGCTGTTGTTCGGTTTCTAACAGTAACCTCTCCAAATGTTGAAAGGTCACCTGACAGGTTTCTGCGGGCTGGCCCAGCGCCCAACCACCGTCTCCTGCAAGCCTGGGGCTCTGACCTCAGAGGGAATTCCTGTGGTTCCTGGCCTGAAGCACGATGCTCTCACCACCCCAGCTGACCTGAGCAGGAGCCCCGACAGAGGAGGGGAGAGCGGGCAGTGCCCTTGGGTCAGACGGGAGCCCAGTCTGCTCTCAACATGACATGACATCTCTCTGAAGCCTCCACACAAGGGACAGCCCTGGAAACAAACTCAGGGGCCGCGTCTTATCTAACAGGGGTACAAACAATGATCCGTGTGATTTTCCCAGACAGGAGACCGGGCGGTTACTGGGGGGTCAGGCCGATGTGTGCCAAGCCGACACTGGGGGCCCCACTAGGAACTGTGGGACACTGAGCACAAATGTCCCGGCAGAGGCCAAGGTCCCCACGCAACCGGATTCCCGTGGAGGCAACAGCCTCCCCGCGGAGCACATGCTGGGAAGCACAAGGAGGGCTCTGGAGGTAAAATCAATCCCTGAGTCTGAAAGCAAGACTGCACGGGTCTCTCCAGCCACCAGGTCAGCCCAGCCCTCGGCAGATCCATCTTTCCCAGGAGAGAACCTGGAACCTCCTGGAGGCACAGGTGGCACCAGGCTCCTCGACGTGGGCACCCTGCCGGCCCCTGAGGGCGCCATGCCATGCCTCCCGGAGGGCAGTGGTGCCCGGAGCTTACCAGCCTCGCCGACGAACACCTCCACGGGCGCGCTGGCTGGGCTCTCGCCGATGATGTTGTAGGCTGTCAGAATGACCTCGTAGCGCCGGTACCTCTTCAAACCTACAGGTGGAAGGGGACGGGTCAGTTGGCCTGGGACCACCTCTCTGCCTTGGAGCAACACCACAGGGCCACGGGGCAGAGTGGGGGCATCCCCCGAGGGTCTGTGGAGTGGCCTCCTTCTCCTTCCCTGGCCCAGATGAGCAGCTACTGTGCGCGGCCGCAGGCCTCCTACCAGAGGGAAGAGTAGAGGCGGCAGGATGTGATGTAGGCCAGTCTGTGGCCCAGAATCTCTCCGTAAGAATGGACAAGGAAGACCCTGGTGTTTAAGGAGGAAATGCACTGGCAACACAAAGCCCTCTGAGTTTTTAACCACCACGTCCCGGGAAGACAAGGGCACGTGAAACCACACATAGAGTGTTCCACAGGCTGAGCCGAGCGACAGGGCGGAAGTAGCTGACCTGTCAACGAGAACACTCTGGAAGGTTCTCCTGCTAGTTAATACCGCTTCATCGTTGCTGGGCTTTCCTGAGGCCCTATGTGCGGGTCTGACCCCTGGGTGAATGGTGACTTAGCTCGGGCTTCAGATCTCCCCTCTTGGGGTCCGCAGAGGTTCAGTGAATCAGAACACCAGGTTCCTGCCCCTGCCGGCTTCAGGGCCCTGCAGGGACCCGCCCTTTCCTGCTCTCAGCCTGGCTGTGGCTGTGCTGCCTTCTGTGGCTCATGCACCGGCCTGGCTGTTTGCCCCACCCCCATGCCTGGGGACCATGTGTCTCCTCAGCATCAATGGCGACAAGCCAGGGTGGACATGGGCACGGTCACAGTCGGGGCCCCTCTCCTTCATAACCTGGACCCGGACTGCAAAGCCTGGAGGTCCAGCCTGGGAAGCCTTGTCTCTGGGACCTGGGCTGCACCGAACTCCCTAAGCTGCTCCTCAGCCGGGTGTCATGGGAGATGAGGCGCTGGGTGGAGGGGTGGTGGCTGGGTAGGGATGCGGGGCAGACCGCAGACCGTAGAGCCGTTTTTGGGGGAGCAGAGTGGAGGAGAAAATGGCATGCCTGAGTCTCCCCGCCCCGACTCCCACCCCGGCCATGAGGGCGGGGCCAGCTGCCCAGGCACTGCCTGCGATGCGGTGGGGTGGTGCTCCCACACTTTAGGGCCTTGGGAAGGGCCGGCCCCTCCTCCTCCCCGCTCATTTATCCACGTGCCAGTCCAGGGAAGCTCCCGGCACAGGGGGGAGTCACACTGTGGGGCCCCTTCGCCCTGTCTCTGGACCATGGAACCCTGTGAGGGCCAGGAGCGTGAGAGCAAGCAAGGTGGCAGCCAGAGGAAGGGGTGATGAACGGGCAGCTGAACCGGGTGAGTGCACACAGGGGGGCACCACTCAGTCTTGAAGACATGGGGCGTCCCAACTGTGCCCCAGCAGGGCTGAAGCTGGAAGAGGAAGAAGCCAGACAGCAGGGCAAGCACTGCTGCAGTCCTGGACTCCGACACAGAGACAGAAAGGACAGGGGGGGCGCCGGGGGCCAGGCGGGGGGGGGGTGGGTGTTTCATGGGGTCGGAGGCTCGGTCCAGGGAGAGAGATAGGCCCTGGAGGCGGGCGGGGATGGCTGCACAGCAGTGTGAACATGCTTATGCTCCTGAACTGCACGTTCAGAAACGGTTACAATGGTACATTTTGCACATATTTTACTGCAATTAAATAAAGAGTAAAAGGAAAAGGTCAAAGGGAAGCAGAAAGGAGCTCTGGCTCCCTCTGACTCCCCCAGACTCGAAGACCAGCTGTCAAATGCCTTCCCAGTTTCTGCTTCTGGAAGTGTCCTTTCCCGTCTCCCCGATGGTTTTGGTGTGTTGAGAAGCAGCACTGGAGAGGGGGAATTCCAGAAACTAGAGGCATCAATTCCGGCTGCTTCTCACTTGGTCCACTGAGAGGCCAATTGGCACTGGCCCCGGCCTGCCCCGCGGTCACGGCGCCTCCTGCTGAAGGCGGCGTGCACTTACGTGTTAATTCATACGTCGTTAATGTGGAGCTGCTGTTCACGGTCTTGAAGCTGCTTTGGGCTATTAGGGGTAAGCAAAGCAGAAAGGCAGTTAGCAGGCAGGGAACAGTTACTGCAAATGATGTCTGCAGACACGGCGGGCGGGCTGGCGCTGCGCTCGGAAGCCGCTGCCCGTCCACCCTGCCGCCTCCACACTCCCCGTTAGCAACCTGGGGGTCCCCGCCTGGCTTCCTGAGACAGCCAGGGCACCTGGCCCACGACAGGGATCAGATGAGTCTCCGGCATGACAGTGCAAACACCACTCGAGGAGCCAGGAAATGGGTTTCTCCCAGGGCGGCAACTTTTCCAGACACCCTGAGGCAGGCATGGTTGTCTCCACTCAGGTGAGAGCCCTGCTTGGACGGGGACGAGCAAGCCACAGACTGCGAGCACCTGCGCAGGCAAATGGACCCAACCGCATCCTGTGGTTTTGATTTTGCTACAAAGCCCAGGAAGATATTATCTGGCCACCGGCAAGGGATGCCTGTGGGGCGGGGATGTGGCAGTGTGACCAAGATCACGGGAGGCAAATGAGCCACTGGTTCCGGTCAGCACACTTCTGGGATCAGCCAGGCACAGCCGCTGCCTGTCTGCTGCCCCATGACCCTGGCAGGCCCAAGGCACAGCCTGCGCTGTGGTGGGAGGTGGACAGAGCAGGGATGCAGTCCCGGAGTCGCACATTCTGATGTGACACAAGGATGTCACACGGCAAGAAGAATCTTCTGTGACACTGTTTGGGGGATGCCCTCTGACCCCTTTCTGAGACAGGAAGATGCCCTTTCCAGAAGTTCTAGAAGCTGCCTCAACTGCTGTTGGATCCAAGCCAGGGGAACAGGTGGATTGGCTCAGGATGAGAGGGCTGTGCACACCATGAGGCTGGGGGGCCCCCTGAATGGACCTCATCAGAGCAGTAGAATATGACTGGCCTCTGTAGGCCCCAGATGGGGCAGTGACATGGTGTCCTGGGAGGGCCTTCCCTCCCTAACATACCTCACCAGCCTCACACGGGCAGGTGCTCCTGGCTGGCCCACTGGAAGGCCCCATCCAGGAGCCCCTTGGCTCTTCCCACCTCCTAAGCATTTACCTTTGCGAGGCCCTTGTGAGTCGTACCTGTCCTTGTGTCCTCGGTGAAATCTTTTCCCTGACAACCTACCTCAAACGGCTCCTCCCCCGGGAAGTCTCCCCTGATCTCCACACTGGGAGTAAGCCCCCAAAGCCCAGGGGCTCTCCGTGGGCCAACCCTCTCTGTGCACACCTGGGCAGCCACAGACCTGTCCACCCCAGTGGCCATGCCCCCTGGAGGAGAGCTGCATCTCCCCTGGCCTTCCAGGGCATTTCCCACCATGCCTTGCATAGAGCTAACATGCACAAGGGTCCCTCTCCTGGGTGCATGGTGTGGCACCTGTGCTGGGATGGGGTAGGCGTCTCACCTGCAAGCTCGGCCCGTAAAGCCGAAGGGGTTTTGAGCGTCTTGGACACGGTGGCTGAGGATGCCTCGGACTCCAGCTCCCGGTAGTAGATCCGGTAACCCTGAAGAAGGCCGTTCAGGCTCTCATCCCTTGGAGGCTGCAAATATAGCACGACCAGCGTCCTGGTAGGGCCTAGCAACCCCGCTTCCAGCTGAGTCAGCCAGCCGCGCTGGAGAAGTCTCTAAGTCAAACAGGTTGTCCTCGGTTGTTTGTGCACAAAAAGGCAGGTGCCACACTCATGAAGAAGGGCACAGGGGACCCCCAGGTAGAGGATCGGGCTCTGAGAGCCCGGGTCTCCTGGTGCCGGGACATGGGCACTGAGCATCTTACCCCATGTGCCGTCCATACTTGTAGGAGCCCCAGGCTAAGGCAGGGGACTCCATCCCAGGTCGCAGGTGGGCGGAGACGCTGCCCGTTGCCTGGTGAAGCCAGAACTCTGAGGAGTTATGCATGTGGGCTGGTTCTGCGTCACCCACCAGCTGGCCCCATCCTCTCCGTGACGGCCACCCAGGCTCGTGGCAGATTCACAGGGGGGGCCCAGTGACTGCTCCGCATGCCAGGTCACCCCCACTCTTGCACGGACTCAGACCTAAGCCAGAACCCCCGCGGTCCCTCCCATGACAGCTGGTGTACAAAGGGCCTGCGGTAGGGTAGGTAGGGTAGGTGCTCATTCAATGTTTGGACACCCTGTGGACTGTGAATAGCGGGAGACGGGCCCCGAGGCTCAGAATTTAACCCACACCGGGTTGCGCACCAATGTGCACGGAGGTGTCCAGCCCACATTCTCCCTCCCATCAGTTCCTATTGATTAACGAATCTTGGGAGGGCTGCAGTAGCCAGAGAGCTGGCCTGGGGGCCCCGGGGCTCTGGGTCCCGTGTGTCCTCTGGAACACTCAGCAAATAAGGACAAGAACCATCCAAGCTGTGACCAGACAGATGGGCAAAGGGCACGCCCAGGACCCCTGGCTACAGCAGAGTCGTGAAGCCTGTCCAGGGGTAGGGATGGACGTCGAATTCCCCATGACACCAACATGGCTGCTGTGTATGGGGGTGTCACCAGCACCTTCGTAAACGCTGTCCTTGTTCCACAGTAGAGGCCACAGCTTTGTTGTAGGAAAACCCCTTGGCGGTGGGTTCAGCTGTGCCCTCCATGAAGATACTCAGGTGTCCTACCCCTGGTATGTGTGGCGGCCACCTTACATGGACACAGGGTTTTCAGACCTTGCAGTTATGAGGAGGTCACACTGCAGTAGGGAGGGCTCTCATCCAATGACTGGTTGCTTTTTTGGAGGGTAATTTGGTTTTACTTATCAAGGTTTTCAATGCACTTTCCTTTTAATCCAGTAACTACATGTCTAGAAATCGTCCCACCATAAATGTTTGCATATAGAATCCTGAGTCCTGCAAATACAAGCTAAACCTCCCAACCCCCGCCAAACCCCAAAACAAAGTATCTACGGGTCTTTTCAATGACACCCAAAGACAACAGGACTACCTCCAAGCCTGAAGGTCACGAACAGCACAGCTGCTTGCAAATGTAATGGCAAAATTTGGACGGATGAACACGAGCAAGGTATCATAATCGCTAATTCACACGGGGAGCCTGTGTTCCACATTATCAGTTGCTGAACATGAAGACAGAGCATATTTGGAGAAGCAATTTAGGGTCTAGCCATCATTTGACAAATACCGAGGCAATGAGAAGATCCGAAGTTCCTTGGGAGAGCCCCTTGGGCACAGCCCTGGGAGAGCTTCATGGGAGCTGGAAGCAGAGATGGGCAACGTGCTGCAATACTGTGACTTAGGAGAAGAGTATCTATTTTGTCATTCAGATGAGCCAAATATGTTCCTCATACACGTGTCTTTGTCCAGAGTGACAAAGCTGTCACTTGTTATGTGAATGAGAATATGGGCTGGTCACCAGGAAAACCAACCTTGTGATCAGAGGGTTGGGACTTTCAGTCCCATCCCTGACTTCTGGGGACAGGAGAGGGGCTGGAGTTTCAATCAATGGCCAGTGGTCGGTGCTTTCATCAGTCAAGCCTGTGCAATGAAGCATCCAGGACAGCCCTAGAGGATGGGGTTCGGAGAGCTCCCAAGTCCGTGAACACGCAGAGATCCGGGGTGGAGGGCATGGAAGCTCTGTGCCCCTCCCCCAGACCCTGTCTGGTGCATATCTTCCATCTGGAAGAGGCAACAGGCAGCAAACACCCCACGCAGGGTGTGTGTGTCCACGCACATTCTGGGGCTGGAGGATGGAGGGGAAGGGCCGAGGCCATAGATCCTGGGCTCACGGACACTTCTGATGAAGGAGAAGAGGGTGCTTTCGAGGCACAAGGAGAAGAGGCCACATCTGCATCCGACAGGCACAGCTGCTACCTGTGACACAGTGGGACACACCCCGATGCTGCTCTCTGGGCGGGGCACGGGTGGCCATATAGCCTGGGGGTGGCCTCGTGAAGTCTGTGGTAGGTCCTGGGCACAGGAAGGGTAGGCTCCATGGCAACTCTGGGGCCTGCCAACATGGGATTTGGAATTGGGTTTAACCACACCTTCTATTTCTAGAGTTCGGAGAAAACACATCTGTCATTCGTGAAAGACTCTGGACCCCCTGGAAGGTATCAGTAGGGCAGCTCCGTGTAACACATGGGAGAGTTCTAGAAGCCATGGGCCGTATTCAGGCTCTGGATTCGAGTCTTGGTTCCTTGCAGTGTGGGCTTGGGCTGGTGGCTCACCCACCCAGGCTCAGCCCTGTGCTCATAGCAGGTGGAAGTCTGGCCTGATGGGGTCTAGCACCTCCTGTGACTCTGGACAGAAGGTTCCCTTTCAGCCACAGACTTGCTCTACAGCCCTTGGTCCTGACCACACTACACTTGCCGTTTCTGTCTCCATACTGACTGGTTGTAAGTCCAGGGCTATATCTTTCGTTGCTGTTTCCCTGCAGCACCCGTGACAAGCTTTGGTCATGGCAGGCACTCACTTAGGGCTTGTGGTTGTGAGCTAGATTTGTTGACATCCAAGATCACCCCATCTTGGGTTGGTTTCATCCTGGACTGGCCCTCTGTACGGGAGACGCTGTAGCACAGGAAGCCTTAGAAAACCTGGTTCCACCGTGCCTTCCCTTGATGCCTAGTGCTGAGTCCCAGGGGCTGTCACACCCCTAAGCCTTTGCCCAGCTGTGGGTGATGCCCAGATGCCCATCTCTGCCATTTACCTGGGAGCATGGAGGGGGGGAGCGTTCATCTTGCAAAACACAGTCAGAAGCCCCCTCCCAGCTCCCCCTCCACTGTCTTCCCAGTGACACGTCCTAGGGCTCTGCCCAGTGAACAGAAGCTCTGCAAGGCCTGGAGTCTGGCTTGCCCTCCTCTGGGTGCTCAGACCCTACAAAGGAGCTGGTCCTCTGCAGGGGATGGAGCCCATGTGAGAGAAGGAACAAACCCCAAACGTGTCTTGAAGAGCCCTGTGGCCCTCTCCCCTCTTTCTGGGTGGCGGTCATGCTCCTCTGTGGAAGGTGCCTGTCACAGCCCTGAGTTCATGCTCTGCTGGGGCCAGTGTGCATGATGTGATCTATTGCTAAGAAGTTTTTAGGTTTTTTTTTGTTGTTGTTGTTTTGCTAAAAAAATGGCCTGAAAATCCACTTAGGGAAGTCTCTAGCTACCCCAGGGGGGACCTCCACTTGAGTGACAGACTGTATGAGCCACTGGAAGTTTCTGAGCAGCCAGCTTCAATGTTGTGAGCAACTCAGAAAGGCTGGTGTCCGTTATGAGTGGCACTCGGTGTGAACACAGTGCTGCCACTGTCTAGAACACACGCTCAAATCCTCAGATTTCAAATTGCGCTGGACCCCATGAAAGGCAGGGATTGATTATCCTACCAGGAAAAATCAAACCTGACAAGTTTCTACAGAGGAGACGCTTAAGTGGGTCAGCAGCCTTGAAATTACAGGCGGTGTTCGCATTTTTAAACAAATTACTGGAAAAAAAGGGGTTTACAGGTGAAACATTTCATTTGGAATGCAAATCTATATTTAAACATAGTCTCTTTGTTCTGTTCGTGCTGATTTAGTAAATTACTCATAATTTTAATTATACTTCAACTGCCTGGCAGTTGACAAGCATTTATTTCTACAATACATCATATTGACCACCTCCTGCTCTGGGCTCCTTGCAATTAGTTTGTTCTGCTGGGCTCTGAACGGGGACAGCTGATGGACACGCATGCCAAGTTCCTTTGGTACAGCTCTCCGCCATTCACAGAGCTGTCCAACCACAACTATGGGGCTCGGAGCCCCCTGCGGGCGTGGGGGCCGGGACGGCGGGGGATGACAGCCACCGTGTGGAGGTGATGGTCCATCCCAAGCCTCCAAGCTGCTTTTATAGGAAAGGACCTTACCTAGTTACCGGCCAGCCAATTGCCACATGTACAAAGAAAATGCTAAATTTCTGGTAAAATTTAGCACAGTAGAGAAGACCAACTTTTGGGTCGATTAAGTTAGTAGAGGGTGGGAAACAGAAGCTCTTGGGACCTTGAATTCCCACTTTGAACATCTCCCACCTCCCACCAAAGGCCCTAATGGAAGTCAGGGGTGTGAGACCTAACGGGTCTTGCCTCAGAGACCCTGGAGGTCACCATTGACCTCCTATTTTTACAGAGAAAGAACGGGAGCCAGAGAGGCCTGCTGGGGTCACGTCATCCACTGGCAAACTGGGGTCCACGGACCTAGAGCCAGTGGGGCCCCGAGACAAGCTCAGGGGATGAGGCCGCCCAGAGGCAGTGGGGGAGCCAGCCCCATGCTTTCCCCACACTCTGGTGAGGCTGCGAAAGACAGAACGCCAGGCAGTGAGTTTCCACGTTCACTGGAAGACATCTGGAACTGTCTCCTGATCACCTGTAAGGGTTCCCTCACTTCTGAGACATGTCACTCAGCAGTGGAGTGAAGGAGGAGTCCACAGCCACTCCATCAGTACCTGGAGAGTCTGCGTGTGGCTCGGAGCCCAGGCTATGTACGTCTGGCTCTCGTCCCTTCCAGAGCAGCCATGGCAAGTCTGTTCGTTTGACCCGCATGGAGTTTCCACCTGTGCTCCTCACTCGGGGTCAAACTGCACGGGAGTGGGCTAACAGCCAGGCTGCCACCGAGCTGCCCCACCAGGGGAGACAGCGGGAACCTTGAGCAGTTAGGAGCCACCCCGAGAATTCTGCGAGCCCCCTCATGGCCGACACACGCATCTCAATCCTGTCTGCCTGCCCTGATGTCCCGCCCAGCACCCTGCTCCGTTAGCAGCCCCGGGAGGCTGGGAGGGCTCCTGACTTCTCTCCCCCTTGCTCCTTGCTGGGCACCAGTTCTAGCCTGGAGGGGTCTCTGGCATGCTCTGTCCCAGCCTACAAGGCCCCTGGAGGCAGTCCCTATAGGACAGCCCCCCACCGAGGGCCTCCTCTAGGTTTCCCAATACAAACATGGGTGGTTTACCCACCCATGCCCTCTGGTCCATCCCTTTCCAAGGGAGTCCCTTCCAGTCCTCCCCTCTTGCCAGCCTCTGCCCCTGGCTGGGCACAGCCTCTGCCTCTCTAAGGCATATCCAAGCCACAGTTTGCTCTAAGTTTCAACATTACCTGGGCCCCTATATCTCCTGACCTCGAACCGCCCCCTCCCGCCCGCCTGGTCTGGATGTGATGTCGGCACTCTCCTGGACGATCTCATTGACAGAAGCAGCTCGGCTGCACGGACCCCTCCGCGGACCACCAGCCCAATGTGGCCGCAGTGGACACAGACCAGCGCACCTGCTCCCCGCTCCGACCCCATGGCCCTGACTCTAGGCACTGCCCTCCTCCGGAAGGCCACCCATTCTGGGCTCAGGAACTTCCCTGGCTGCCCAGAGCTCCCACGACGTTCTCATTGCTGCCCTCGGCCCTGCCCGTTGCGGTGCTGGTTCTGTCCGGCCTGGGTCCAGACCAGCTGCCGAACCCTACTGCCTGGCCTGGTTGAGCCCTCTCCACAAACCTGTGAGCACCCTCGCTGGGCTTGCCCGGGGCCGGGGCAGCCCTCCTTGCAATTCTCCCCTCTCTTATTTTTGTCTTCCATGCACATTGCTGTTGACAAAAGTATCCAAATTGGAAATGAGGCCAAGAGAGAGCAGTGTGTCCTTTTGATGTCACGTTACTGTTCATGGCCCCGCAACGTTACTTGATTGTCTAGGGTAAGGTGCCTTGATGGGACTGTTCACTGAGAATTAACACTGGGCACGTAGGGAGGATGCACGTAACCCCGTGGGTATTTTGTCTGTTAGTGGATGATTCCTGTAGAAAAGATCACTCCCCAGCCTATGATTTCGCTGCCCTGTCTGATGCCACCTAGTTCTGTGTGTACCATGGAGGCCTGCAGGACCGTCCTTCCCCAATAGCCTGGGGCATTCAGCCCAGATGCCCCGTACCAGCCCTGCCGTCCTGCTGGCCCTCCCAGGGATCTGTGCTCAGGCTCCTTCCCACAGCGCGGCTCAGGGGGTCCGTGGTGCTCCCCCCTGCAGTGGGCACGCCAACTACACGGAGTCCCGTGACCTGCCACCGACCCTCAGACACGGGGTCCAGTGGTGGGCAGGTTCCAGCCTCGGATGCAGGTTCAGGAAACACCCTGCCCTTCCCGGGCCTTACCCGCCACTGGATCAGGACAGAGGAGGTGGTGTGTGGTGTCACCGAGATGAAACTTGGAGGCTCTCCCGGAACTGGAATCCAAGAAAGGAGAAAGCGAGGATTAGCGGGTTCTGCTTGTACTTGGCCGCTGTTCCGGAGCCAGCTCCCTCCTGGTTCTGGCGAGGAGGCAGGGCCAGGGACCGGCGGCTGGTGGGGTGGGGGAGGGGGTGGGTGGCTGGGGAAGCCCGCAAGCCAGCATCCCTGCCTCCACCTCCCTCCCTTCCCTGTAGTTGTCCTCCACCTGCGGAGCCCCGCTCCTGCCCAGATCAAAGGGACTGGATCCTGATGGACGTGACAAGATAATGTCCTGCTTTTGTCCCTCCCGCACCCCGCCCCCCAGCAGACCCACACAGGACATACAAAGGCGCTTGGCTATCTTTGGGAACCCTGCCTGGGGAGCCTTCCTGCTGTCCCCCATCTTCTCAGGAGCTCTCCCTGAAGGAGAGGGATCATTTGTTGGAGGTACTTAAATCAGAGAGGCTCTGAATGGGACAAAGGGCCAATCCAGGCCTGAGTGCTCTTAGTTTCAGACACTAAGGGAGGGAGGCTGAGTTCTGGGGTGGAGGGACGGCTGCTGTTTTCGGGGCAGCGGCGGTGACAGCTTGGCTCTGCTCTCTGGAGGGATACGGTCAGTTTGGCTCTGCCTGTGGCCATGGCTGTGCCCTCCATGCTGGAAACTACAGTCCCACCCCATTTGAATGTCCTGCGCCCCTCCTCTGACACGCCTTCCCTACCTCCACTCCCACCGAACCTGTCCGGTCCCGGCCGGCATGCTAGGTTGGCTTTTTCACGGCTGCTCACTCTAAGGTCCCGAGACCGCGTATCAGATGCTTACCAAGAGTCACTGAGTGGAACAACTGAGGCTGTTGTCCCCACCCCGCACCCACCTGACCGTCCGAGACTCAGCCTCTCGGTCACCGGCTCTGAGTCTCCTCCACACCTGCTGGGGCACCCAGCACCTGGGACGTGCTGGCATCAGCCTCACCTACAGCCCCCCTGCCTTCTGGGAAGCCCCCTACCCTGTGCTCTCTGGCCTCCTGCTGACCTGAGGTCCACGCTGGACCCTTACACAGCTTTCCGGGATTTCACGCTGGATTGAGGGGGTCTCACACCTCAGCCACCACAACAAGGAAATGTTTATCAGTGAGCCATCCACACACCCAGCCCAGGGCCCCCCCCAGCCCCGGAGTCTGTCCTCCGTCCCAGCAGATCTGTTAGGAGACAATCCAGCCCAAACACAATACAGTTGACGCAAGAGGACTGCAGATCTCGGAAGAGGAAGAGGACAGGGTCGGTGTGGCCAAAGACAGGATTTCAGTAACAAAGGATGCAGACAGGCCTTTGGGAACCTGGAGAGGCCCTCAAATGCCTTTTTTCCCCCCACCAGGCCAGTTCAGCAGGAACCCGAGCTGTGTAAGAGCAAAGGGAGTCTGTGATATCTTCCTCACTGGCCTGCGATTTCCTGAGACTCGCCAACAAAATCATCTTGCTGCATTTCCCGATTTCTTTTAAGCGTCCGCGCTTCTCCCAAATAGAACCCCAGCTGTGTTAAATGTAAGATGAGAAGACGAGCCACAAAGACAACCACAGGGTTTCTTACAGGGCCTGTCCCAGCGGCAGTGGGAACCCTGGGTGTGCATGATCTCTGCATCTCAAGGCCCAGAAGCTGGAAGGGTCCCCCTGAGCCCCTCCTGCTGGTCCCCAGCTTGCCCGAGGCCTCATGTTGGTGAAGGCAGGCTCCCGGCTTAGAAAGGAAAAACATGGCAACGTGGTGAGTCAGTCTCCAATGCCACTGGGGGAGCTGAAGGCTCAGGCCTGCAGCCCGAGATCCAAACCCCCACATCTGCAAGGCAAGAGCGACCCTCCTGCCCTAGACGTCGGCCTGCCAGCGGGCCTGGCAGGATTGGCCCCCGAACTCACAAGGATCTTCGGGCCTGATCCTCTGAGGTGGAGGAGGGCGGGTAAGAACCACCTGGAGCTCTCGGGGGAATCTCAGCTCCTTCACTTCCCTGGGCTTCCGTCAAAGGGCAAAACTGTGGAGCGGTTCGTGAATGAGAAAAATGGGGACACCACTCAAAACGCAGCTACCCTTCCATATTTATTTTTAATGACCCTATAAATTATTCAATTTCTAGAATGCTAATGGATTGTAGGGGTTTGGAAGCCAATCAAAGGAACCTCCGTTCCACTCGCCAGTCCTTGAAGTCGGCTTCTGCACCACAGGCTGTACGGAGCTCCGAGTGGTCTGCTGCTAATTGAATCCTGCTCGCCCTCCCTCCCCTGGGCGACTCCTTCCTGGCTCGGGACGAAAGCAAGGCCTCTCTCCCTGGGAGCCCCTGTCTCGGGGTCCAAAGGCGGCAGCCGGCCAGGGGCCCGTGTCTACACCCCCGCCTGGGTCCCAGCTGGCTCACCGTCCTGCAACGTGGTCACCGCGTCCGTCTCCACACTGAAGTCACTGTCGCCGATGTCATTGGTCGCTTTCAGGCGCAGCTTGTAGGAAGTGAAGGGTCTTAGCCTGAAACACAGATGAGCTGTAAGGGCCTGAGCCCTTCCCTGTCCTGCCCCACGCTCGGGCCATAGGAAGCGGGCAGCCCGGAGGAAGAGGCCCTCGCTCGGGGACCAGGAATCCGTCCTGCTCCTGCCTGGGAGGGGCCCTCAGGCAGCCGGCACTATCCTCCCCACCTGCCCCCAGCAGCTGAACGTCCTGGCCTGAGGGTGGCTGTTTTACGCCGGGCTCTTCCTGTAATTAGAGCCTCTCCTGCAAAGCAAATCACCGCTCTCTGAGGGACTCGAGAATTTCTCAGGAGGAGCTAATTACCGCAGCCCTCGCACGATTCAGAGCATGAAACCAGGGTCCGCCTTGCCAATTCCTCGCCCGCCTGCAAGCGCACCTTCGTGGAGGCCCGCCTGCCCCTTGTCCCCACAGAGGGCCCGGCCGGGCAGTGTGATTCCCATTGCAGGGATGAGAAAACCGAGGCCCGGCCCCATTAAAGTCCCTTGTCCCTGGCTTGGCCAGGACTGGAGGAGGATCTGTCTTGAGGCCGCCTCTAAGACCGAGGTAAGGTCAACTGTCCATTGGAAACAGGGGAAACGCCCCCAACTGCCTGCTGAAAGGGATTTGAGGGGCCCTAACAGTCCGGGCACACGGCTCGCGGCCACCGCGCAGGCCTGCCTGTCTCCCTCCATCGACCCGGTCCCTGTGGATGGTCTGAGCTGAGCTCTGTACCACACAGACACCAGACAGTCTTCTAAGCAGATGAGCTGCGGTCTTCCTTGGGTCCCTGGCTGGCCGGCACCTCTGGCTGTCCTTGCCATGACTTCCGAAGGAGCCGATGAGGAGAACAACCGCCCCTGCCCCAGGGACCGCTGCTCTGTTTGGGGCAAAGCTCTGCCCGTGTCCATCTCCCAGACCAGGAGAGCCGGGCGGCTCTGGACTCTGCCTGCTCCCCCAGCTACTGGTGGGCAGACCCTCACTGTCTCCAAGCCAGTCCTCTGTCCCCCTCCCAGGCCAACCTGGAAACTCATGGGTTTCAAACCGAGCACTGTGGAACACCGGAAGCTCTGAGAGGTCCTCTAGGAGACCAGGGGGCTCCCATGCCCCCTGAGTTAACCAATAGCACCCCACTCCCACCTGGTTTGCAAGTGGGATCTGGGGAATTCTTGGCCTAGAGGAAGAATTCTGCGTTTTCAAAGACTGATGACGTTCTGTGGACACAGGATTGGAAGAATCGTCCTCCGTGTTTTCACATGCCCTCCTGCCTAAGACGGGATTTTGCACTAGTTCTCTGTCGGCCCCCGAAGGTTCTCTGTCGGCTCTTCCCTCCAGCCCTCCACCACGCCAGCTCTCCGTGCCACAGCTGGTCCGTGACCTCAGGCCTGTCTCCTGGCCTCTCTGTGCCCCGGTTCCAGCTGGGGAAGCCATGCCAGGCGACCTTGCCTTGGCCCTGGCTGTCCTGGGGGCGCTTCCAAAGTTCCACCCTTAACAATGATCTTTGCTCGCAGCTTCTGGGGGAGCTATCCTTTATCAAATTAAAACAAATAACTTCCCATCTGTTCCTAGCTTCCTAGGAGCTATTTTATCTAATTCTTGTGACAACTGCATGGTTTTCTCCTTTGGTTCCTGCCTCAACCACCTGAGGCCCCACATTGGCATTAGCTTCTCCTCAGATGAAAAGGCAGCCCAGGGCAGTTGCCAGGAGTGAGCACTCTGGAGCCAAACTGCCCCCACACTGACCCCCACATCACCTTGGGCAGGTCGATGAGCCACAGGTGCCTCGCCTGGGCCGACCACGGGGTCGTGAGATGGTTGTGTGGATGGCATTGAGAAGCGCTTAGAAGAGACTGACACACGCAGTGCACTCACTGAATCCTGGCTGTTCTTCCCATCAGGACCCTCTGGCCACAGCTCACATGGCTTCAGGAAGAGCCCGTGCCCTGAGTGCTGTCCTCTAGGCCTGTCCATCCCCTCACCAGCCCCACCATGATTTGTAAGGAACAGTTTGCTTCCTTGACAACAGTCTGCCTTCCCCACAGGGACACAGACCGAGGTGGCCTCTTTCACTGTTATGCCCCGAGCACAAAGAACAAGGCCTAGTACCCAGGAGGTGCTCAGTGAGTATCTGTGAAGGAAGGGAGGAAGGAAGGGAAGAAGGGAGGGAGGAAGGGAGGGGAGAAGGGAAGGAAGGAAGGGAGGGAGAGAGGAAGGGAGGGAGGGAAGAAAGGAGGAAAGGAAGAAGGTAGGGAGGAAGGGAGGGAGGAAGGAAGAAGGAAGGGGAAAGGAAGTGAGGGAGGAAGGAAGGAAGGGAGGAAGGGAGGGGGAAGAGAGGAAAGGGGAAGGAAGGGAGGACTGAAGGGAGGGAGGAAGGGAGGGACGAACGGGGGTAGGATTCAGGAGGGGTGAATGAGAGGATGCAGGTAACAATCAGCACGGTGTCTGGCATGCACTGGCGTGTGGGAAACTACCCCCGTCCTTGAATTCAGCGCTTATGCTCACTCAGCGCGTTACATTTAGGACGTGTCAGACGCATCATTGATCCATTTGCGTTTAGCACCTCACTGTTTTCTAGCGCTTTCGGAATATGAGGCCAGTGGCAGCTCCTCCGTTCCCACCCCGCCCGCCGCACACAGCAGGGGTGAGGTACGCAAGTCAGACGGCTGGAAGAGTCCACCCCTGTCTCAGGTCAAGGGGAGGGTGTGTAGAGAGCAGGAAGCTAAGTTCCCAGCATGAGGCCCATTTCTGCCCCCGCCCTCCGCATTCCAGGACCCGAGCTGTTTGGGGGGGCACGCAGGGCAAACCCTCGCCTCAGAGTAGGAAGCCCAGCAGGTGACTTTCCCGGGAACCTGGCCCTCAGTGTGTGTCTGCTGATGGGCACAGGGGCCTGGAGGAGACTGACCACAGCATGTCCCACACCAGATCAGACTGTCATTCGGCAAACTTCCAATGGGAAGTCTCCTGCACACACTCGTCTGATCTCAGGAGGCCCCGGGACAGATGAGGCCACTGGAGTTTAGTTTTCTCCTCTCTTTCAGAGGAGAGTGCGGCCGAGTGTGGTTCATGAAGCCACCTGGACACGCTGGCCCATGCCTCCCGAGGCTTGGGGTTGTGCTGGGGGTGGGTTTTCTGGGCTCTGGAGGCGGGGGGGGGGGGCAGCCAGTGGAGATCTCCGAGGGGCCAAGAGCGGGGCCTCTTGGGTGTTGTAGCTGCTGTTCAAAGAGTACAAGGGGCGCTGGCAGGAAGCTGGGGGACAGAGCGGGACTGCTTTGCATGACCTTCTGAGATGGCAGCCTGGTCACTGCCGTCCATTCCGGAGGCAGATCTCGGGCTCCCAGAGCTGAGAGGAACGGCAGGGTGGCCCCCCACTGGGCCATCACGTGGGTTCAATGAGAAATGTGGGTGCGATTTCCCAGCACAGGGCCCAGAACGGGGGGGCAACAAGTATGTGGTGTTCTGTCTGAAAGGTGAGAGGAACATTGGTGAGCTTGGGAAATGGGGTCTAGGCCTCCTCCCCCGTCCCTGTGAGCAGGGCTGGCTGGGGCACTGGAATCCTTGGAGCCTGTGGGCCATGCTCCTTTGTGGTCCCCGCATAGCCTGATGTGAGCTTCATGGAAAGTGACCACTGTCAGGGCCAGAGAAGGACAGGGAAAATACCGGCTGGCTCCTTGGACGGGCCTGCTCACCGGAGAGACCCAGGGGGCTTCTGCAGGGTGGTGTGAGCCTGTGCAGCCCAGACCTCCCAGGTCAGGATGCAAGGTCTAAGGTCACTGCTGAGAACCATTGCCTAGACGGTTATGTAGCCCTGGTCCCTCACCCCAGAGAGGGGGTACCCTCATCTCTTACTGTAGAGGGGTGTGGGAACACGGGAAGGGACCCAAATGAGGCCTTAGGTGCCAAGAGTGAGCTGCAGTGGTCAGTACCACTCCCCTCTGCCTTTGCCTGGTGGATCCCTCAGTAACTGGATAAACGCTGGGTTCTCAGGGTATAGTGGGGACACCCCTCCCATTTCCCTGAGGAGCCATCACTAATGGATGACAGCGGCCATGGGAGCCACCGGCCTTGCCAACTAGGAGAGAGAGCACAAAGAGAAGGTGCGAGTCTCAGCCCGTGACACCCCTTCCATACCTACCCCCACTTCTGCTTCTCAGGGGCTTGGGGGCTGGAGCCCACACTTCCAGGCTCCCCGGCCCCGTGATCTGTGCCTCTTCTCTCCCTGGGGCTTGGGGCGTGCCTGCCACCTGCACAGGGCTGGACCTGGAAGGATGGACCTGGGGCAGAGGCTGGAGAGGCTCCAGGAGGGGGAGTCCTGGTCCCTGGTACAGGGAGCTAGAGAAGAGAGGGGAGCTGTTCGGGTGTGTCTCTGGCCCCCAGATTCCCTGCTCTACTCCCCACGGAGGGCCCGCCTGCCCCTGGGTACCTTTCGACAGCACAGGCTGTGGCCTCATGGCTGACGGACGAGGAGTAGGTCTGCCACTCGCCCCTGGGCAGCTCTCGCACCTGCACGGTGAAGTAGCGGATGGGGGAGGCCCCGTCGCTGCCCGGGACCCACTGGAGCCGGAGGCTGCGCGCGGTCACTTCGGCCTGTGGCACTAGGAGCTCTCTGGGGGGCGCCGGCCGCTCTGCAACCGAGAGAGAACAGAGCGGGGACACGTGAGAGGCTGCTGCTCCCAGAAGGCCCCCTGCGAGCAAGGGCAGAGAGGGCCGAGGAGAGGGAGTGGACTCCGGGTCCACGGCCAGCTTGGACCCGCCCCAGCGGGATCTGATTGGAGACCCTGGCTTGCTCCCGGAGCGCTGCTCTCTCTCAGACAGCAGACAGACAGACAGATGGGACGGTGAGCCCACACATGCTCCCCAACGACCACACGTCCCCAGGGGAGTCTCTTGAGACACACCCTCTCCCTCCAGTCTTGGGATCAGGGCACCTGTCCTGTTGATGTCCTTTCCCTAGAAGCCACTATGAGGCTGAAACACGGACAGAGTCCCACTCAGCTCCCCCGGGGGCTGTCACCGCTGCTCTGTGCCCAAAGCGCTGGTGACTGGGGGTGCAGGGCACAAGGCCGGGACCTGGCTTCTGAGCTTGGATCGTTTCTGTCATGCGTCTCCTCACCCCATCGATTGCAGCGGAGAAAGTCCACAGAGGGAGGAATAATTGTTTAATTGTTTATCATGAAGATTATCGATCCTGTTGAGAATGTGTTGTGGGTAATAAAGCAGCGACGGCTGGCTGGCCCTGTGGTGACAGTGGGGGGAGCCCTTCCCCCTGATGTGGTCTGTGCTCCTCTGGGAGCACACGCTCGTGCTGCCCAGGTCTCCTCGCCCAGAGCAACAGGCCTGCGTCCCCTCATCAGTCCCGGGCATCTGGCAATGGGCAAAGCTCTGCTGGGGAGGGTTAGTGGGCCCTGGCAGAAAACCCCTCAGCCCTATGGGCCCCAGGCAGCTGGTGCGGGTGATCGGGACACAGGTCGGGGTACAGGCTGGGGTGTGGGTGTGCGTCCCCCCAGCCCCATCAGTAGCAGACCTGCCGTGGACTGGGGATGCCTCCTAAAAGGTGTTCCTGTTTATGCTTCCATCTGGATTCATCAGTCACAAACTATTAGCAAACTTGTGTCTTTCCCTGTGCCTTAGAAAGTGCTGGATTCCCTTCTGGGGCTGCATCCACTCTGAGGAAGAAGGCAGGAGCCTTTGGGAGAGGCACTCAGGGCCCCAAGCATGACCCAGACAAGGAGGAGCCTGACGACCTGGGCAGGAGGGGGTTTTCCTGTGGCCTGTCCTCTGTCTGGCCAGCTCCCACCCCCAACTGCCACCCTGTGCCGGGACCATAGGTTAGACAGTGTCTGTGCTGATAGCCAGGGCCCCGAGTGTGCACGCTGTCTCTCCATCAGCTTCACGCTCTGGCATCTCTGGTGACTCCCAGGCTGCCGTCCTCCAGTTAACAGTAGAGGTAACCATTGTCATCAGAGGGGCTGTGCAATTGTCATCATCCTTGGGGGACTGAGGCTCAGTGGTTGGGGTCAGGGGACTCACAGTGGGCTGAAGGGTTTGGTCTTTCCCTGGAAGGTGGAGCCTCTGGAAGATCCAAAGCCACAGACAGGTGATGCCATCTTCCCTCCATTGGCCACTGGAAGGGTCAGCTGGGCGTTCTAGCTGGGGCGGCCACCGAGCAGCAGCCAGACCTTGTGGGCCCTTCCACCTTGTGGGGCATCAGCTTCCCCACCTGCTTAGTCTGCTTGAGTGGGAATTAGAGAAGTGGGCTGCTTTGCCTGGAACGTGGCCAGAACATGGCCAGAACATGGTGAGGGCTCAATGCCCGACAGCCTCCTTCGCCTTCTACCTTTCGTAGGTTTCAGATCAGCCCTTTGTATTGTTTCTCAAGCACTTCGATTCAACTCATGCCTCCCTTAGACTGTCTGCTCTAGATCGTGTCCTAGAGTGATCGCACCGGCTGCGGGGACACGGGCTCACCCTCTGAGCGCGGGCGCTGCACCAGCTCTGCCCCCGGAGGCCTGCGGACAGTGCTGGCCCTCGTACTTCCCAAGAGGCCACCGGGTGGGTGCCAGGGCACAGACAGGGAAGGGCCTTGCCTAAAGTCACATAGCTCCAGAGCCTGGTACTTGGGGACTCCCAGATGGGAGGTAGGACAGGTCATTTCTCCGAGCAAGTGCCTTCCTGTCGTCCTCTTCCCTGAGATGTCTGGGACTAGAGTTGGGGTGGCCCAGGGGAGGGAGCCTGCTGAGGCAGATCCTAGAGCGAGGCTGGAGGGCATGTCAGGGGCTCGCTGAGCCCCTGACATGGGAAGCCACAGCAGACTGCTGTGGGAAGAGGCGGCCTGGGGAGGGTGTTCACATCACTGTCCCACAGCTGTGTCCCTGGCCAATAGCTGACTCTGTCTGGGCCCCACTTTTTCTGCAGAAGGGGGGCTCACAGCACTTCCTTCACCAGGCTCTGGTGAGGATAAACCAAGACAACGTACAACAAGCACCTCGCCAGAGCCTGGAACAGAAGCCGTGTCCGTGAAGACAGATCTCCGCAGGACCGCTCGGTAGGAGACATGTTTTTTGAGCACCTGCTCAGCGAGGCACGTGGATCGGAACATCAGAGACCTGGTGCCTGGCTTTGGGGAGCTGCCCTCAAATGCGGTGACTCAGACCTGCTCTGGGCCAGTTACACAACCTCTCTGAGAGCAGAGAGGGACGTTCCTGCCTGTCCGGTAAATGTCAGGCTGTGTAGACACGCTACGGTGCAGGGCCTGCCCCGGGAAGCCGTGGCCCAGCAAGATCATGACTCCCGCTCGGGCCCAGCTCTCCTCCCTGGAGCCCCACGAGAGAGGGGTCTTACCTCTCTTCTCAGTGGTGATGACGGTGGCCTCCAGCGGCTCCCCCCAGCCTTGCCTCGTCTTGGCTGACAGCCTGAAGATGTACGCAGACTCCGGGGCCAGCTCAGTGGCCGTGAACTGTCTCACGGTGGCGCCCACCTCCACCGTGGTGAACGTGTTGGGGCTACTGCTGGCTAGGCGGTAGGCGATCTGGTACCCTGTGGGTGGGGCAGGAGGGCCATGTGTCAGTCACATCAACCCCCCTACAGACCCCCACATTCCTGCCACCCCCCACTCTTTGTTTCCCCGACGTCCTTCCTCCTCCACCGGCATCTGAGAAGGGGAAAAGTCGCGGTGACGGATGGAGCCTTGGAACGCTGGGTGCCCATGACCCTCATTCCCCTTCATCCTTTCTGCCCCCAAGATGTGGCAACAGTTTCATCTTCGCCACGGCTGCTGGAGCCCAGAGGACGTGGCGGGAACCGGCTGGTGCTCCTGAGGGGCAGGCCCAGTGCTCCTGCTTTTTCTGTCCTTCCTCGCTCCTCCTGCCGCCTGCCCTTCCCCTCACAGGGCCAAGGGCAGTGCCTCCTTCTGGAACGGTCCTCCAAGGGTGCCCTTTTCCTATGGTTACATGTCCTTCCTCTTGGTCATCCTCCCTATCTGCCCGCAGATCCCAAGTTTGGGAGCTCTGTTTCCTGCTGTTAGCCCCTCCTCTGTGCCCACATCCCAGGAAACCCCAACATGGCCCCCGACTTGGGGGGCTCCCCACCATGTAATACCCCTCCTGCTGAGGAGGCAGTGAGGTACATGTCATCTGTTCTGGGGGGCTTCTGTGGCTCTGAAGGGCTCCTAAAGTTCCTTGATTATCAAGAGATTATGGGTGATCAGATGTTATTAACGATCGAGCCACCCAGCCAGGCTGTACCGAGACCCTCTCTGCCCACGTCTGAAGAAGCAGCGCCGACTGTCAGCCCCAGCCTGGCCTCCCCGCTGGTGCTGACAGCTGTGCTCTGCCCTAATTAACACCAGAGCTGGTGGGGCACGGTGGCCTCCACCAATACGGATGACAGCGGGCCTGCTCTGGTGACACAAGGACCTCCTGGGGCAGGGGACGCGGCTAGCAGAGCTGGACTCTGTCCTCCACCAGCTCAGGCTCTGCTGGCTTCCTGGGGGTGGGACGGTCGCCCAGTGACCAAGCCCCAGGAACTCCACGCTGCCCGCCCGCCTCTTCGGGTGAGATGCCCCCACTCCTTTGCTGTCCTTCTTGCACCTTCTTTGGCTCTGTTGGGGCCCAAGCCTATGGGTGTCTTCCCAGCTCCCAGCTCGTCATCCATCCAACAACACGAGGAGCCCCACCTGGCTGGCTGTGTCTTGGGGGGATGGTTCCATGCACTCAGCATCAAGTTGCTGACCACTGTAGGTCACCACCATTGCCACGCAGACCAGGGGTCGGGCACACCCTGCCTGGTCCACAACGATGGCCACTCACAGGCCTGCTGTTTGCAGGACCCTGTGGTTCCTTCTCCTCCCGAGGATGACCGGCTGCCCTCTAGCCTCTGGCCAGGGTGTCCTACTAGACGACTGTCTTTTACTATTTAGGGACTGATGACCTACAGCCCAGAGAAGCCAAGCTGAGCTCTGTATCCTCCTCCACCTCTCTTTCCCTTGCCCCATTGTAGATGGGGGCGTCTGGGGCTCTGGTGCCTTGGGACGCTGGTCCCAAGCCTTTGGAGAGTCCAGGACACCTCGCCTCCTGAGGGTGAGGATACCGTGGTCACTGTAGCCACCACAAGGGGCTCTCCTGCCGACCTCCTGGCTCCCTGAGCCCTCACAACAGCCAGGACAGGAAACCTACGAATCCTCACATGGCCACAAAGCAAAGAGAGGGTAAGTGGTCTGCCTGAGGTCACACAAGAAGTCACCAGCAGAGCTGTGCTGGGAGCCCTGAGCCAGTCCCACTTTCTACTGAGTCATACTGCTCCTGTGAAGAGAAAACATCTGCCCCCATCCTCCAGCAAAGGGAGAGTCCCCTTGCCGAGTCCTGGCTGCTGGAGACCATGCATCGCAGCACACCAGAGTATGTCTGAGGGATGACAACATGTGGGGTGCGACCAACACATGCTCTGAAAGCACACCTGCCCAGAGTGCGATTCAGGCTCTGGGAGTTCTCTGCTGTGCCCCCCGGGGTCTCTGCATGTTAGGCTGCCTGAGGGGGCCGTGTGGCATGGATTGGCCCGCAGGGAGGGCGCCGACCACGAGTGGAGTAGAGGGGAGGGAAGGGGTGTTGGGCCCCAGTACCAGCTAAGCATCAGGCACACTCACTCCAGGTTGTAAAGTGATCACAAAGGAAGGACTGTAGGCAGTTCTCCACCCTCTGTGGCTGCAGGACTCGGCATCCCCACCAGCTCCTCTGCCTGCCGCTCTGGATGTCCTTGGTCACGTGGCCTCCAGGGAGTTTCATCCCCAGACCTCTGGGCCTCACCCACGCACCTGCTGGGTCTGGCAGCTCTGGGGAAGGGCAGTGAGTGCGAGAGCTGCCAGGGACGGGACCCAGACAGACATGGGTCAGACTCCCGCTTGGTCCCGTCGGAGCTAGGGATGGACCAAGACGTGGGAGGGACACCCCGGCCCCGCCACACCTGTCCATTTTGCTGTGTGCTGTGCGCTCCACATTGAGCCAGGCACAGAGCCGACGCTGCGTTCAGGCCTTCTGTGCATGTTGCCTGACAGCGGCCTGTGTTCCGGGGCCCAGACTGCGTCCCTGGCCATCAGCCTTCTGGGCGGAATGGGGTTTCCTGTCCTGGAATTCACAATTGCATTCATCTTGGAAAATTCCTAGCCTTAAGCTGCCTTTTTTTTTTTCCCCCCTTAATGAAGGCATTAATGTTCTATTGCAATGTTTCGTCATTACTTTTGAATTGTATACACTCACTCGGCTCACAAATAACACGGGAGTGTAAGGAATGAGCTTCAAGACACCTCTTCCTGTCCAGGCCCCAGCCCGCCAGGTCGGCTCTGCCAGCTTCTTGGGTGTCTTTCTGGGGAGCGTCGGAGAGCACAGGGTCGCTGAGGCCTCCGTGGAGACGCGCTCGTCCTTGCCTGAGTGTGCACGAGCTGGGCCCGCATCCCGCCCCGTGCCGGGCTCTCCTCGGTAGCACCCCTGGGTAGGCATTCACTCGGCCACAGGTCTGGCCCTTCACAAGTCTCTGCATCTGTTTGTGGCCCTTCTCCTCCCCATGCCCGAGTGTCACGACGTCCTCGCCTCTGACGGTCATGATTTCCACAAGGTACTCAGTCCCTAAATCCTCCTACAGCACCCATGGACTCGACCCTGGGAATGGGGTGACGTTGGCGTACTTCCTCCCCCGGCTTGTCAGTCACACACGGCTGATTGCTTACAGTATTGCTTTTCTTTCCCTGCTGGTCTGTGCATTTAGCTCTGTTATCTGAGCTATTAACTCTGAACTTCGGCTCTGACACTTACCCGCTGCTATAAAAGTTATGTAAATCAACATTCTTAAGGCACTTCTGACCTCAGGATGCCTCTCTCCGGCTGTTATGAGTCGTGTTATTATTTTTATGTTGTCAGGATTTGCGGCGAGGCTGCGGGGCGGGGGGACTAGGGATGCCTGCTCAGCCGATTTAAAGCGGCGCACGGGACAGATCAAAGCTTTCGGGGAAGGCAGCCGCTGTCCCAAGGCTATGTTGCCTGCGTGGGGATGTGGTCCATACACAGGGGCTGAAGCGAGCCTCACGTAGGACCAGTGTCAGCCAGAGGCCTTGGTGGCGACTCTGTCCCCGCCCACCCCGAGCATGTGGAGGAGGGTTGTCTGCGTCCAGAACAAAAAGCACGTTAATGACTGACCAGTGACATTAACATACGCATCTCCCTCAACTAGAGAAAGAAAGCAAGGCAAGATACTTTGCAAAGACAAACTGACCTTTACAATGAAGCCCAGAGGCCACACTGACAGACACAGACGTTACCTAGAAGAACATGAGCAAACATAACATTTTTAAAACCTCAAGAATGATGCGGGACCTGGTGTCAGCGAGTTCAGCCATCTGAATATCGTTCCTCGTGATGAAGAGACACCAGCCTTCCTCAAAGAGACAGAGACTTGCTTTGTGCTGGAAGCAGGCTGATGTACGTGGGTCTGGGGCTTGGGCCCCGTGCAAGGGCACACGGGATTTCTGGGTGGGAGGAGCTGAGCAGGTGTTGTTTTCACCGTGTGAGAACACGCGCCTGTGCCCAAGGGAGCAAGGAGACGCAGGGACCACCTGCTTGTACACGCTGTCCCAGCACCTGGAGCGGGCCGATAGCCCACCTTGCACGCACAGGTCTTGGGAGGCGTCCAGGCCCCTTGGGGCCCAAGATTGCGGCCTGCAGGCCGTTCCTCCTACTCGACACCTCGGCCCACCTCTGCGCAACTCCCAGCTTCTCATTTCCAGTCCCTGAAGCGGAGTTAGCGTAGGCCACCCCCAAATATGCCATTTTCGCCTCTTGATTACTTTGGATTAAAGTTACTTAAGAAACGGCCAGCACCGGAGGGACGCTCAGATCCTCCTCTGTCCCCCTGAACACAGGACGTCAGTCCCCCTCGATGCACCAGGAGGAAGAGAGCAGCCTCGTCGCCCGCCTGGGGCAGTTTAGGGCCAAGGTGGCTGTAGAACCCTGTTCACCAGTCGACCCCCCAAGCCCAAACCCCTGGTCTTGCCAATTCCTCACCAATTCACTATTTCTTTAACTCAAAGGCATTAAAAAACAGCCTGCTTTGGTCACTTTAGAGCCTCTGATCTTTGGGGCTCCTGTACACACAAAATTAATTTTTCTCCTGTTCACCTTATGTCAGCTTAATTCTTCGACCAGCTGTAAGACCCAGAAGGGAGGAGGTAGAAGCTCTCAGCCCTACACTGTGAATCAAGCAAAAACTCGCCCTACTTATTAGCACCTCCCAGTCATTAGAGCAGCGTGAGAGCCCCGTTCTGCCCGGGGTGGGGAGGGCCTGCTGCTTCCCCAGCTCCTTCCTGCTCTAGAATGGTAGAATTCTGATGATCTGAAGAAAAGAGAGACAAGTGGAAAATAATCTGGTCACTCCACAAGACATTTGCAAGGAAATTTTGAGGGACGGCAAGGCATCTGGGAACGGGGAGTGGAGGGGCACAATCCAGTGCCCAGGGGTGGATGCCAGCACAGCCGAGAGGCAGGAACTCCGAG